TAAAAGGGGATTGGACAGTGTGAAGTTTACCACATGGCCCCTGCTTGTTTCACCAAACAAAGAGCTCACACTACGTATCCCACCAGCTGATGCCAATTGTTACGCGCCCCTCACGTGTCCCTATGTTGTTTCGCTAACCTGAGGCCCACGGCATGTTAGCTCCTTTCTGCTGCCACCAGTAGACTCAATAAGTGGATGTCAAACATCAGATCAGAAATCAGTAGAAGATATTTTGGAATGGTGGCAACAGTAAGTCAAAAAGGCATACTATGATATGTTTGGAATTATTAATGCCTTGTGAGGAGGAGGGTGCCATCACTGATGCCCCAATGGACAGGCCATCTCTCCTTCTCCCCGACACTGTGGAAAGAATCACCACTGATTCAGTGGTAGATGAGTGGAATGGGTGCCCAGGGAATCCAGGGACGGAGGACCCAAGGCCCGGGAGTCAGGAACCCAGACAGAGGTACTGGGAGAAGAGGCACCACCAGAGAACCTGAGTGAGGTAGAACACTTTTTAAAAGAACAGGGTTCAGAAGGTCTCTGGGACCTGGGGGATGTTAAAGATGATTTGGAGGCAGGAGGAAGAAGATCCACACAAGAGCAGGAGGAAAACTTGGAACCGGACATCCAGACGGGGAACCTCTTGCTGGATATGGTAGTGGAGGAGGTGGTAGACGAAGGGGTCTGGGAAGACACTTTAGAAGAACCTCAGATGGGATTGGGATAGATTCCCCAGGAGAAAGAGGACCTGGGGAGACTGGGAGTGTATATGTAAAGGAAACCCTTAGTACAATTAAGGGTACTCTGTGCTGAGGCCAAAAGGCACTTGAACCTTCAACCCCACCTCAGCCCAATTATTGGGAGGGAAAGGGAATGTCGAGAGCAGAGGCATCGGCAACATGAAGCTTACCCAGTGAGTGCACAGTCACCCATTTGCAGTGGTGGAGGAGGCAAATGCCTGAGGTGGGACATCCCACCAGCCTGGAAGTATCACCATTGCCCTTGGTGTGAGTGCATATAAACCATCTGTGTTGCAGCCATGAGGGGATGGACATCATGAAGTGTCCCATTAATGGTAACCATGTCTGAAACTGTAGCAGTAAAGGTAACTGGAGGACTTTTGAACTCTATAAAGTACCTGCAGGAAGTGAAAGGAATGTCCCAAAGGTGATTTCTACTGGTCTGTTTGTTTCCCCTGTCACAGTCGAAGTAACTTCTGTTATTTATTTTATTTATTTATTTATTGGACTTATATACCGGCCCATAGCGCTACAAGCACTCTCCGGGCGGTTTACAATTTTTAATTATACAGGCTACACATTGCCCCCCCCCCCCCCCAACCTGGGAACCTGAGTGAGGTAGAACACTTTTTAAAGGAACAGAGTTCAGAAGGTTAGTGTTGAACTACCTCAGTAATCATCTGTGGAGTTGGGGATGGAGGACGGAAGTCATGCTGAAGCAGCCAGGGCTGGCGGGTTTCACATGGACTTAATCTGAAACTGTTTTGCTTGTGATTTATTATTATTATTATTTAAAATTCTATCAGGAGAGACTAACTTCCCTCAAATCTATCATTTTGTTGGGATGTAATCCCCTTGTTCCCCCCCCCCAATAGGTTTATGCCTATGGACTGAATGACCTTCCTGACCAGCAAAGTGCTAAAGAAATCATGACTATTGGAGATATAACTTCTCTCAAGACATTTCACTGGAAATTTCTCTAACCTTTGAAGTGTTGTGTGTTATTTGTATTAATCGAGCCCAAAATATCTGAAAAGGACCTAAGCTGGGGAAGACTGTTTTACACCACAACAGCACCTGTGTATCAAAAATCCTTTTCCATGTACAGTACATTTATGCCTAAATTTGTTGCAGCATTTTGTGTAGATTGAGCCTCTGAGAAATGTTAAAGGTGAAAGATAAAGGATGGTGAATTGAGACAGCCTGCATATTAAATTCACTTCCTGCTGTTTATGCATTCTGTATCACAGCGCTGACATGTCGGAGGTCATTACCAGGGGTCCCTATCACTGCCATATATCTTTCAATCTTAGGTTTATTTATCTTCTAGTGCCTTTGCAAATTACAAATGTGAGTTTATTTGACGAATGTATCCCTTCTACTGCTATCTGCCTCAAAATGAATGGCCATTGCTGTTTTCTGTTTCTGAAGGTATCCTGAAAGAAAATCAGTTTTTTCATGTAAGTGAGTAGTACTTTAGACTGTGTTGTTAGACAGGAGGGGTGGTATTGTGTTTTCTAGTTGATAATGCAAGGAAACCCTCATGTTGTATGCATGCGTGTATGTGTGCACACACTGTAAAAGGTGACTCTGAAATTCTTTACAAATACCATGTTGATTATTGGTCTCAATTCTGTTCAGATCGGGAAATGAGGTGACAATTTGTCAAGTGTTAATGCAATGTGCAGTTTGTGTATCAACTTGTCTGAGCTTGGAACAATTACTCGTTTTTGGGGGGCTATCACTTCCAAAATTCCCTAGTCAACAGCCATGAGGTTCTTAGAGCAGGAAGTCCCAAAAAATACAATTCGACGAGAAAGCTATCTCTACTGACCTGCTTCTTGGGGAGTAAAATCTTTTTGTACTTATGCACTTGATCAAAAAAATTAAAAGAGAAGGAGGAAAACAATACCAGGACCGCCTTCTTCCATATGAACTTCCCGTCCTCTAAGATCAGGCCAGGAGGCCCTTCTGAAGGTGCCATCCCTGAAAGAGGTGAGGGGGATGGCATGTCGAAATAGGGCCTTCTCATCTGTTGCCCCCCAACTTTGGAATGCCCTCCCTAGAGAGATCCACCTGGCTCCAACACTCTTGGCTTTCCGGCGCCAGGCAAAGACTTTTCTGTTCAGCCAGCATTTTAATTAAACAATATTCCCTAGCTGGCCATATGAGCAGCAGGACTTATTAATTTTAATGTTTTAAGAATTATTTTAAAATATGCTATTTTATATTGTCTTTTAAGATGTTTTTAATGTTTTTAAGTTTTAATGCTGTACGCCGCCCAGAAGCCACTGGCAATGGTGCGGCTAAAAATATTGTAAATAAATAAATAAATAAAATACCAGTGGCTGGTTTAGCAGTTGTGTACTGCTAAAGTTGTGTACCATAACGCTTATTACATAGTAGTATATTTTATCCTTAGTCATCTCTAACCATTTCTATCAGTGAGACATCTGTAAGTGTTTTAAACCTCTGTTGGAATAGAGGTACTGACAACACTTGCACCAAAAAATGAGGACAAGAAGGGGATTTAAACACAAAAGATTCAAGATGAGAGGCTCACAATTCTTCCAGTAGAACATATGCCTTGCATGCAAAGGTTCTGGGGTCAGTCCCTGCCATTTGAAGGAAGGGACCTGAAATCATGGCCTAGAGACCACGGAGAATCCTTTCCAGTAAGAGCATGGGATATTTAGCCTGCTGGGCCATTCATTTAATAAGTCATTTCCATGTGTACATAGAGAAGGGAAGGGAAGAGATGTCTGTAGGCTCAAGCATACAGTTATTTTGTGTAACAGTAGTCAGGAACATCAGCACGCAGTCTGAAGTAACATTTTAGAGATCCAAATTCATACTCTTGCCAACAGATATAAGAAAAATCTCTTAACATGTCCGAGTTGTAACTTCTGGGGATCTCTTTCTTCATCTGAAGTACAGTTGAAAATGTCCCATGCCTGGGCAGGAGATGACTTTTTTCCACATACCCTGAGCACTCAGTGTTTTTATGGGTTTCCATGGAGATTTTCATACACAGGAGGGAGGAAGTAGTAGATGGTGACATGGCAGGACCCTCCATGCTTTCAAGGGACTTCCAACGGATGCCTCTAATACCATTGCCAACCCCCTGGTGGCTTTTTGTGATAAAGCAGGGATTTGAACCCCAGTTTCCAGCGTCCAAAGGCCAGCGTTCAGGTTAAAGCATTGCACTGGTTGACTTTTATGCCTTGGGATTTGGGCTAAATTTTGCTGGAATTGGTAAGGCATTGAAAATTAATGAGGGAAAAGAAGAGGCTATATCTCGGGGTAGTGTGGTGAAATAAGCTGTGGAATGAAGTAATATTAATTCCTTTGCTCAGCACTTGTATCTGATGTCATGATGAACCAAGTTTCTTGGAGTGGAGTAAAAGCAATAATACCAACTCATTTCCTATTGACGGTACTCTCTTGACTTTTTTTTTTACCACCAAAGCTTTATCCTTCTTCTTTTCCATCAAAACAAAACACCTTCTACTGGTTTTCATTAAAACGAAAGGCTGTCTTATTTAGCCCTTCTAATGTCTGTCCGAAATATGAGGTTGTTGAGAAATGGCCAACGAACAGCACCAATTCTTTGAGCTGCTAGGGAATCCTAAGGAATGTGAGTACGATTGCCTAGGAGGCAAGAACTCTTAGCTATCTGGCAATGTTATATGCCAGACACATCCAACAGATAAATGCAGGTAACAACATGGGCCAGTGTTCAATGAGGCAGATCCGCTGATGAAACTATTTCTGTTAGTGCAAAGGGGGGCAGGTGATCCCCTCTCTCTGCTGCAGCCCCTCTGCCTTTCCGCTGTGGAGGGGTGGAAAGCTCCCTGGAGCTATGCAGTGCAGGGTGTGTGTGAGGACTTTTCTGTCCCCACAAAACATTAGTAGCTGTGATGTTGAATCTAGGCTATACATTCTCTAGAAGAATTCCAGTGCTTTGGAGAGGCCACAGAGAGTCTTTTCCATCTGAAAAATATAGATGGCTCAACAACGTTTCCTAAGGATGTTGAATTCTTCTTCAGTGAAAATTGTATTTGTGATGATTTACTAATTCCCTGTATTCTGTGATAGTAGTTGAAACTGTGGGTTTTGTTTTTAATCACAGACATCTTGTTGGAAAAAATTATTTTGTCTTACTTAACATATATGTCTCCTGGAGGACTCTCTTCTTATGGGGCAGATTGTTTAAACTGTTGTAAATCAAACAGCTGAATATGCAATCATCTTTAGGATCTCCCAGCGCGTGGAGGCCAGCCGGACACAGCTGCGGGCCATTGATGAGAGAGTCACTCTTGCTCAAGCCAAAATTGAGAAGATCAAAGGCAGCAAGAAGGCTATCAAGGTATTGGATGATTGCTGGGTACTGGGCAGGTTAGAGATATTTCAATAAATATAATAAATACATTTGTACTGGAGGAAACGTTTCCAGAGGCATGTTAACTGCTCAGAGAGTTGTGACTGTTGTATAAATAATAAATGTAATAAATTAATAACTTCATCTCTGTGTTTCTTTCCCAAGGTATTTTCCAGTTCCAAATACCCTGCTCCAGAAAGGCTGCAAGAGTATATCTCCATTTTTGCAGGAGCTAAGGATCCAGATGCCCAGAAACGGCCAAGGCGCAAGATCCAAAGCAAACACCGGGCCTTTGAAGAGAAATCCCTGCAGGTAGAGAGGGAGGCAAAAAGAAAGCATAACTCCCCCCCCCCCTCGGTAGTGTGGTAGTAATGTGAGGACTTTGTTTGGGGTGGCGTAGCTTCCAGGAGCTTCAACAAAGCAAAATGTTGCCAAGAAGAGAATTATTTACAGTGGTGCCCCACATAGCGACGATAATCCGTTGTGAAAAAAACGATCGCAAAAAAAGTGTCGCTATGCGGATTCGTTGTTAAACGGGGCGCTCACTAAGCGGGGCACCACTGTATTTTATTTGATGTATCTCCTGCCTTTCCTCCAGTTTGCTCAGGGCCCCTTACTGTTCCCCACTTTATTCTCATAGCAAGCCTGTGAGTAAATCAAGGTGAGGGTGTGTGGGTGACCCAAGGTCACCTCTTGAGCTCCATGGCCAAGTGGGGATTTGAACCTACATCTTCTGAGTCCTAGCTCAAAACTCCAGATAGGCTTCTGAGAGACCCGGGTCATTTCAAATAGTGAGGACCCTTCACTTTTGGGCCTTACTCTTCCCCACTTTATTCTCATAACAAGCCTGTGAGCTTGTTATGAGCTCCATGGCCAAGTGGGGATTTGAACCTACATCTTCTGAGTCCTAGCCCAAAACTCCAGATAGGCCTCTGAGAGACCTGGGCCATTTCAAATAGTGAGGATCCTTCACTTTTGGACGAAGAAGGTTGAAAAATATTTTAATATAATAATGGCATGTGAAAAAAATATATAAAGTGGAAGACTATGCAGTCTTGGAGATGAGGCCCCCACATAAAATGAGACCCCCACCTAAATGGCCCTGCAGACCCTGACTCTGGTAAGGCCTGACTCTGACCCAAGGTTCCCTCTAAGGTGTGGGGCTGCAGGAGTGTCCGTGACTCTGCCCCTTGCCTTGCAGCTTTCCTCCTCCTCTGCACACCCACAGCGAGTATTTCCAGCCCCTTTGGTTCTGATCACAACGGAACCCCGCAAGAGCGTGGAGACCCATCCAGCAAGGCTGAAAATTAGAGGGATCCTTGCTCTAATGGCCATGTCACACTTTCATTTAAAAAGAATTCTACCTTCTTTGACCTGCAGCCTTAAATACTTGTAAACCAACTAGAGTGTGCATTTTTGTATGCATGCAGATAGGTTTCTGTTCATAAGAACCTAAGAAGAGCCGTGCTGGATCAGGCCAAGGGCCCATCTAGTCCAGCTTCCTGTATCTCACCGTGGCCCCACCAGATGCCTCTGGGAGGACACGAGACAACTAGATCTCTGTCTCCTGATATCCCTCCCCTGCATCTGGCATTTGGAGCTACCTTCCTTCTAAGCCTGGAAATTCTACATATCCATCATGGCTTGTAATCTGCTTTGGACTTTTCCTCCAGGAATCTGTCCAATCCCCTTTTAAAGGCATCTAAGCCAGATGCCATCACCACATCCTGTGGCAAGGAGTTCTACAGACTAACACCCTGGTAAAGAAATATTTTCTTTTGTCTCTTCTCACTCTCCCATCATTAAAGTGGAGTGGATGTCCCCTGGTTCTAGTATTGTGTGAGACGGAAAAGAACTTCCATCTAACCACTTTATCCATCCCCTGCATAATTTTATGTCTCAGTCACGTCCACATGTTCGCATGTGGATGTTTTCATTCACTGATTTTGATGCCCCAAAACACCGGGCAACTGCCATGCTGGAGCTCAGCCTTCTAACCAAATCAGGATCCATGTGGAAAGGGAGGAGGAGGAAGAGGAGGGAGGCTCCTGCTTCCTCTAGCAGCTCTACGCCTCAGTTTTCAAACATGAGCCAAGTATACTGTTGAGTAGCTCCATTTGTGTAGTTGGCGTAATGCCATCAGATGCAGCAGATCACTGCAAATCAGAGAGTTCCTTTTTTTTATTTCAAGTGTTGTGCAGTTCACATGCAGTGCTACAAAGTTGCAAATACTCCAAAACTGAAAAAGGAACTGTTTAATTAGTGGAAATCTGCCAGGGCCATTGTGCAGGCAGGGCAACACAACAGGATACTAGCTTGTGTTTAAGGGGAACATAGAAGTCCTTGGACAGTTTATTTGAGGTTTCTCCTTAAGGAGACCAGCCTCTTATTTGTGGGGCTCTCAGTTGAAGTGCCCGAGCCCCATAAACCACTAGAGATAAACTCCAAATCCATTCCTTTTGGTGTATGACTTAGAATGTAGCTGGTAGTTCTTCCAGCACTTAGGATTCCCTGGTGGCTGCTGTGGAGCTGCTGACAAATACATTGGAGTGGCAGACAATATAGCTCAGCAATAATTGCAGTTGCTTCTCCACCCACCCCGAGTGGGTTGCTGTCGTAGCTGGGGGAATATGCCATTCCCCAGATGAATACAAGATACTCCTGTGCTGGCATGTAGCGAGAATCCTTCTGGGACTTGGAACATAACAGAAGAATCTCTTTCCAGACAAAGAGGTTCAGCTAAACTGCTTCTGGGAACCCGCTTACTCTCCTTTCTACAGACCCAAAAATAAAGCTGCCCTTGAATAATTCAGTGTGCTGAACTTTCCTGCAGTCTAATGGAAGCCCAGTCTGTCACAGTTAAAGTGGCATGAATATTTCAGGCTGGCCTTGGTATTCATGGCGAGATGAGCTGTGGGGTGTTTGGAAGGTTTATTAGCCCTCCAAAAGTAGGGTTGTGGCCAGCTGCTCCCCTAAGCCTCCCACTGGGGCTGTAGATAGTTCAGCCCAGCAATGATATTTTTTTTACAGAGAAGCTGGTCAACCAAGATTGAGTGCTTAGCCTTCAAAGCACACAAGGCGCCTGCATTTAAAAGGTAGTTCTGGTTCTCTAATCATCTTAGAGATGCAGAGCTGGAAAGGATCCCATGGATCACTGTGTGCAGCCCCCTGTTAAGGAGGGAATCAAACTCACAGCCTACGGCTCTGCAGCCGAAAACTTAAACCACCTAGTTCAGCCCAGCAATGATATTTTTTTTACAGAGAAGCTGGTCAACCAAGATTGAGTGCTTAGCCTTCAAAGCACACAAGGCGCCTGCATTTAAAAGGTAGTTCTGGTTCTCTAATCATCTTAGAGATGCAGAGCTGGAAAGGATCCCATGGATCACTGTGTGCAGCCCCCTGTTAAGGAGGGAATCAAACTCACAGCCTACGGCTCTGCAGCCGAATACTTAAACCACCGAGCTATCCAGCAATTCAAACGCCGGGAAGGTATTTTCATGGCTGTTCCTTTGTCCTGGCTGGTTATTTTCAGTGAAACTAGGAGATGTCATAAAACTCTTCAGACAAAAGTATGATTTTTAAAATAAAAACTTATGTTTATTGATAATAACAAAAGGAATGGTAAATTACTATAATAATTAAAATAAAAAGCAAGCAGTATAATAAAGTACCCACACACATACTCTCTCTCAGACCTTCACTCTCTCTATATAGCACAGTACTCCACAACCTGTACAAGCCCTAACTCCCTAAGTCCCTAACCAGACCCTATCAAGTCCCTATCTGACTCACACCTCATTCACTCCCCCTTAAATACCTTAGCTCCACCCTCTTAAGTCCCACCTCCCGTCACGCTACTGGCAGATGACATACAGCCACAGCTATGACGGGCAGATGATGTCACCGCTACCGTAACACCGAGCTATCCAGCAATTCAAACGCTGCTGATCTTGAAAATGGCTGTTTTGATATGACTATCTCAGCATTTATTCTTATTAGGTTTTTGGCCCTTATAACCCAGTATTATCTACTGACACCAGTTCACCAAGATTTCAGACAGAAGGCTTTCCAAGTCTTCCTGGAATTTTTTGAAGATAGATCCAGGCAATGGAAGCTGGGACATTCTCGCCCCACAGTGTCCAGTTCAGGCTAGGCAGACAGCCTGCAGGATCATAGGCAAAGTCGTCAGGGACGTCAACCTGTTGGAGATGTTCAGAAAGAAAATTGTTTTGGTAAAAGCCAAGTAGAGACAGACTTGCAGTCTGAGGTAAATGTGCTTCTCCCTCAGGCTTTGATCCACTCCAGTGGTACCTGTTGGCAATCTCCATATGCTGCAGCTTGGTCTTGCTTACCAAGGACAGTCCTCATTATTTGCTCTTTTGTGACACCTTTAAGAAATAATTAGCATGCGTTCCCATTCTACAGTTTTTAGCGCTCTGTACTCGGTGATCAAGGAGCTTACTTCCCAGAGATGGGAGATGGTTGCACTGTTACAGTGTGTATGGGGTTTGGAAGCCTTAGGCAAGATGTTTCCTCTGCCTCACTGCAATAATCCCAGCCCAGCTGCTTGCTGCTCCCTTTAGACCTAGTTGGACTCTCATCTTACTGGCGGAGGGAAACTGAACATGTAGCACCAGGAAGGAGGAACAGCATCAGAAGAGCCATGAAGTGCCATGGATTGACAGTGGGCCTGTACCAGGTCAGGGGTTGTAACAGTTGTCGAACAGTTACCTGATCTCCCTTTTCCACAGCCATTATATGATCACATAATATTCACATAAGCTTGAATACATTTACATACTGTGTCGTTGTCCTGCATTTGGAACAGAATCTTCATACAATGGAAGAGTAGTATGTAGTAGAAGAACAGGAAGTTCAAAGGAATAAGAAAATGTGTTTATTTATTTTTATTTTCAACCATTTGTATGCCACCCGATTTAGTGCAAAGCACTAAACAATGGTGTAAATAATCCTCATGCCAACTGCTAACCCTGACCCACCTCCCCACCGCGCCAGTCAAATCCTAAACAACCCAACTTCGAAATCTCAATTCAAAATCGTAATGATATACTGTCAAATCAATTAAAACTAAAATTTCTTGGATACAGAGTACTCTAGAAGTGCTCTAGACCAGTGGTCCCCAACCTTTTCGGGACCGTGGACCCGTTGGGGGGTGCGAGCTCTGTGCGCATGGGGCGGGGGCACCCCGTGCTCATTGGTGGGTGTGTCATGCTTGCGGGTGGGCGTGTCGCACTCACCAGGTGGGGAGGCAGAGATCCGTCTCCACAGCCCAGTTCCAGCAAGTCCACAGACCGGCACCGGGCTGCGGATTGGGATTGGGGACCCCTGCTCTAGATTATAGTTTGCCCACATAGGCTGTTTCTTTTGCTGCAAGACATAGCCGGGAATCAAACTCCCAATCTCTGGCTCTACAGCAGGTGCTTCAACTCACAGTTATTAGCATATCTTAAATTTCTTTTTTGAATTGTTAAGATGAATATTTCTCTTGGTCTCTCCCATCTCAGTGGCTGACATCTGTGGTTCAAATTGTAGAACAGGGAATGAAGGGTTGTGTTTGCACTGGCATGGTGAAAACTGCCCTCCACCCATGATGATCAATGGCCTAGCTCAGCGATGCCGAACCTATGGCACGCATGGCACAGGTGGCACGCAGAGCCCTTTCTGGGGGCACGTGAGGCAGAAGTCACAGAATTGCTACTCCCCCGCCCCCCGCACAGCCAAACCTGAGGAGGAGGCTGCAGCCGCAGTGCTGTCGCTTCGGCAGGCGGATCCAGAGTGGGATCTCGAGGCACCTCTGTGCCCGGGATTCCCCCTTCCACCACCACTTCTGGTTCCGCCACCACTACTTCTGGTTCCGCCGCCGCGCCACCGCAGCACGCCACCCGCTGGGGTTTTTTTTTCTTTTTCTGTTTGGGCAGACAAGCCCAAAAAGTTTCACCGCCACTGGCCTTGCCTCTTTAGAGGTTCCCTAGGTGACAGAACTGTCTCTCTGGCAGACGGTAGGGAAGGAATAAGTTGGTTCTCCAAAAAGTTTCACCGCCACTGGCCTTGCCCCTTTAGAGGTTCCCTAGGTGAGAGAACTGTCTCTCCAGCAGACAGTAGGGAAGGAATAAGATGGTTCTGCAACATATTTCTGGGAACTGAAAACCAAGAGATATGGAAAACAACAAAAATCTAGTGCTCCTAATGAGTGATGGGCTTGGCCTCTTCCACTTGATTTTGCCAGATGATGGCTTTAGAGAGCTCCTACGTTCCTCACAAATGGGCCAAGGACCCAGCTGTTGCCCTGAATGCTAGTCTTGCCTGAAGTGTTGACTGTTGCTCTGTTGTTTGTGTTTTGTAGGAGAAGCCAGAGCACTTCCCGTTGTGTGTCAGCACAAAAATTCATCACGAAGATGATGCCGAAGAAGGCCTTGGCAGTCTCCCCAGGAATATTAGCTCTCTTAGCTCTCTGCTGCTCTTCAATACCACCGAGAACCTGTAAGTCTTGCCTGGAGATAGCTGTTCTGTGCCAGTTCTGAATGGATCTAGATGCCTGGTGTATTATTTCTACAGTGGTCCTATCTACTCTGAAATGCAGGATGGTCCCTATGCCCTTACTCCCTTTTTATCAGTAGGAAATGAGTTATATCCACTCATTTGAAAAGATCAGTCTACATCCCAATCCCAAAGAAAGGCAGTGCCAAAGAATGCTCCAACTACCGTACAATTGCACTCATTTCGCACGCTAGCAAGGTTATGCTCAAAATCCTGCAAGGTAGGCTTCAGCAGTATGTGGACCGAGAACTCCCAGAAGTACAAGCTGGATTCCGAAGAGGCAGAGGAACTCGAGACCAAATTGCTAACTTGCGCTGGATTATGGAGAAAGCCAGAGAGTTCCAGAAAAATATCTACTTCTGCTTCATTGACTATGCGAAAGCCTTTGACTGTGTGGACCACAGCAAACTATGGCAAGTTCTTAAAGAAATGGGAGTGCCTGACCACTTTATCTGTCTCCTGAGAAACCTATATGTGGGACAGGAAGCAACAGTTAGAACTGGTCATGGAACAACTGATTGGTTCAAAATTGGGAAAGGAGTACGGCAAGGCTGTATATTGTCCCCCAGCTTATTTAACTTATATGCAGAATGCATCATGCGGAAGGCTGGACTGGAAGAAACCCAAGCCGGAATTAAGATTGCCGGAAGAAATATCAACAACCTCCGATATGCAGATGATACCACTCTGATGGCAGAAAGTGAGGAGGAATTAAAGAACCTTGTAATGAGAGTGAAAGAGGAGAGCGAAAAAATGGTCTGAAACTCAACATCAAAAAAACTAAGATCATGGCCACTGGTCCCATCACCTCCTGGGAAATAGAAGGGGAAGATATGGAGGCAGTGTCAAATTTTATCTTCCTGGGCTCCATGATCACTGCAGATGGAGACAGCAGCCCTGAAATTAAAAGGCGCCTTCTTCTTGGGAGGAAAGCGATGACAAATCTTGACAGCATCTTGAAAAGCAGAGACATCACCTTGCCAACAAAAGTCCGAATAGTCAAAGCTATGGTTTTTCCTGTCGTGATGTATGGAAGTGAGAGCTGGACCATAAAGAAAGCAGACCGCCGAAGAATTGATGCCTTTGAATTGTGGTGCTGGAGGAGGCTCTTGAGAATCCCCTGGACTGCAAGGAGAACAAACCTATCAGTTCTAAAGGAAATCAACCCTGAATGCTCACTGGAAGGACAGATCCTGAAGCTGAGGCTCCAGTACTTTGGCCATCTCATGAGAAGAAAAGAGTCCTTGGAAAAAACCTTGATGTTAGGAAGGTGTGATGGCAAGAGGAGAAGGGGACGACCGAGGATGAGATGGCTGGACAGTGTCTGCGAAGCAACCAACATGAACCTGACACAACTCCGGGAGGCAGTAGAAGACAGGAGGGCCTGGCGTGCTCTGGTCCATGGGGTCACGAAGAGTCGGACACGACTAAACGACTAAACACACACACGCAACATATCAAGCACAGGAGCATGTTGGGGAGGGGCCATTATCATCTTCCATTGTCCACGTTGCATGGAGATTCTGGGAACTGAAAACCAAGAGATATGGAAAACAACAAAAATCTAGTGCTCCTAATGAGTGATGGGCTTGTCCTCTTCCACTTGATTTTGCCAGATGATGGCCTTAGAGAGCTCCTACGTTCCTCACAAATGGGCCAAGGACCCAGCTGTTGCCCTGAATGCTAGTCTTGCCTGAAGTGTTGACTGTTGCTCTGTTGTTTGTGTTTTGTAGGAGAAGCCAGAGCACTTCCCGTTGTGTGTCAGCACAAAAATTCATCACGAAGATGATGCCGAAGAAGGCCTTGGCAGTCTCCCCAGGAATATTAGCTCTCTTAGCTCTCTGCTGCTCTTCAATACCACCGAGAACCTGTAAGTCTTGCCTGGAGATAGCTGTTCTGTGCCAGTTCTGAATGGATCTAGATGCCTGGTGTATTATTTCTACAGTGGTCCTATCTACTCTGAAATGCAGGATGGTCCCTATGCCCTTACTCCCTTTTTATCAGTAGGAAATGAGTTATATCCACTCATTTGAAGCTCAGCTTTGCGCTCCTAGCCTCCGAGAGACCCTTCATCTCTCTCCCCCTCTGTGCTTTTCTCCAAAGTCATTCCTCTTTTTCGTCTTCAGCATCCCATGAACGTTGAGCTTAGTAATGTATTAAACACATGCCATGTGTTAGAAAGCAGTGTGAGTTTACCTCTTTTTCGTCTTCAGCATCCCATGAACATTGAGCTTAGTAGTGTATTAAACACATGCCATGTGTTAAGAAAGCAGTGTGACCAGTGGGTTTGCATCTCAAAACACTAGGAAACGTCAGGAAAAACAATAAAGTAGAAGAGTGGATGGCATTTGATCAGGAGAAAGGAAACCTGAGTAGACTGGCACCATTCTCCGTGAACTTGCACATTCTGCTATACCGTGGAATGCCTTTGAGTTAGAGCTTAGAAAAGTTACATTTTTGTACCACCGTTCCCAGAGTCCACCAGCAAGCAAGGACCAAAACGCCCAGGGCTCCTGGCAATTGTGTTCCATAAAACTAACTCTACTTCAGATCACTCTGTCCCTCTCAGGCTCTGTCACTGGTGCAATTTTATGAAACTTTGAGGCCCAGTGGATTGAATGTGAGCTGGATTGTGGGCATCTACCTCTGGCTTGACTTCTTTGGGCAAGTTGTAATCTATTCTCCTCATATTTTCATTAGTAAAAATGGAAGTAATGACCTAGCTAGTAATTCATAAATGAAACAAATGTTGTTAGAAAAAGAAGACCTAGATAAAATTCAGCTATTCTTCTTTTGACTTTGAGTAGTTGCTGAGTCGGTGCCTTCAGGATTTTTTTAAAAAGCTTTATTTTTTCCCCCTGTCCTTTGAGGTGAATCATTTTCAAGGTAGTTTATCACATAAAAATTTACAGCAATAAAATATGCAGTATTATGAACTGAAGTGACACAAAACAAAACAGAGCCTTGTCTTTTATTTCACCTTTCCTTGAAACTGGCTTTGGAAGATAGCTCACAATAGACTGAGGAGAATCTATAAATCAGTCATTAATCTGTCTAATTAATGTGGAGAAGGGAAAGATCTGTGAATTTCATTTTTAATTGCACATTTTGGAAACCTATTGATTGAATCTGCAAAGAAGGACGGTGAAATACTGGTAACAGGAGAAGAGTTCCCCCCCCCCCGGGGAAAACGGCAGGTTAGCTAATTGTAGCAGGGATGGGCAGCTTCAGTAAGTCCAGTGGCCAATTTTCTGCCCCTCGAAGCTTCCAGGAGCCACCCAGACAGCCAAAATACAACAGACTTGGATTAGCAATCAGCTCATTCTCAGTCTTAAAACATTGGTAGTATTTAGTGTGAATTGGTGTAGTATTTAAAAGCACCTTTTTATTTAAAAGCTGCTTCCAGGTGTACCATTTTTCACCAAAGGGGAAATGGGAATTGTAGAATCAGCCTTCAGGGTCACACTTGGCCTGCCTTGTGTGGCTTCATGTACAGGAGACTGATAAGATTGTCCCTTCTCCTCTCTCTCTCTCTCTTCCCTGCCCCAGCTATAAGAAGTATGTTTTCCTCGATCCTCTGGCTGGAGCAGTAACCAAGACCCATGTGGCCCTGGTAACAGAAACTCAGGAGAAGCTCTTTGACGCCCCACTCTCCATCACCAAGAGGGGGCAGCTGGATCAGCAGGTAAGCCATTCAGGTCAGGGCAGAGGGAGAGGACCCGATGCCCCCATCGATCATCGATGCCCCAAGGATCGCTGAGGAAGTTATCCTCACAACCACCACACTGTCACATAAGCCAAATCTTCACCTTTACTGATACCGGCACTTGAACATCAGCTAATGAGCTTAGGATAGAGAACATATTAACTATAGAAAGAGGATGAGCAGAAGACAGAAGTATCTGCAACAATTGGCATGGTGTAGATAAGATTAAAAGACAGTGCAAGGTCTTCCAGATTGCAGCTCAGTGTGGCTACAGGGTGCTGGTCTAGACAGGGCTAAAGGTTCTCTCTAGGGATAGCCAATAAAGTAAAATGCAGATGTATTCTCGAAGGCTTTAATGGCCTGGATCCAATGGTTGTTGTGGGTTTTTCAGGCTGTTTGGCCATGTTCTGGAGGTTTTTCTTCCTAACGTTTCACCAGAACGCAGAGGTTTTTCTTCCTAACGTTTCACCAGAAAACAAGAGTTCCTCTGAAGATGCCGGCCACAGAGACTGGCGAAACGTTAGGAAGAACAGGCTTCAGAAGATGGCCAAAGAGCCCAAAGGCACAAATGGTGTCCCTCAGAGGTAGGAATCTTCTTTAAAAAAAGGGACACCTTTGAAAGAAAGTAGGTGCCATAAAAGGCGGGGTGGGGAAAAAAGGGACACCTTTGAAAGAAAGTAGGTGGCATAAAAGGCGGGGGGGAAACAAACGAAAGTCCTTCTTCTTTCTCTTACTTTTTTTTTAACAAAAGGAAAAACAAAAACTCTTATAAAAGGTGCTAAAAGAGAAAGAAAACAAACGATTGTTCTACTTGCGTTTATAGAATGAGAAGGAGCTCTAAGAAATGAGACCTCTTTCAGCAGCGGAAAAATAAGAACTGAGGTAACTGTTAGGGCGGGGGGGCCATGAGGTCCTAAGGGGAGAAGCCAAAAATGTTACTTTAAGCTCTAGAATATTCCAAGGTCTCTGCGCAAGCACAGATTTAACCCATTAATGTGGATTCACAGAGGCCACGGAGAAGAACCTACAAAAACCATAAAAGAAATGAGACCTCTTTCAGCAGCGGAAAAATAAGAACTGAGGTAACTGTTAGGGCGGGGGGGCCATGAGGTCCTAAGGGGAGAAGCCAAAAATGTTACTTTAAGCTCTAGAATATTCCAAGGTCTCTGCGCAAGCACAGATTTAACCCATTAATGTGGATTCACAGAGGCCACGGAGAAGAACCTACAAAAACCATAAAATGCAGACATCACAGAGGCCACGAAGAAGAACCTACAACAACCATAAACTGCAGACATGATGAGTTGCCGGAAGACTTATGGAAGGGAAATTGTAATGGGTGAAGCCTTGTGGGGCTTGTGTAAGGTTTGTGGGACTTGCTGCATCTAATTGGCAAGGTGCCGGGACACACTTTGGTTGCATAACTGTGTGCCCCATAAGTTTTGTCAACTAGCCACAGTGAGTTATGCAAGCCTTCCATGAACAGCAATACCATACAGTTGCAGCCAGTAGGTGCAAATTGCAAAGCTATGAGGGCAATACTATCAGTGAAACAATGGCATGTTGAGGCAGAACAATCTTCCTCTTGAAGACACCAATTCCTGCCTCACTTTTTTTCTGTGAGGCATATTGTTTCCCTGAGCAACCCTATTTTGTACTTCAAGCAAGAACTAAGTGGTACGTATTATGTGCAATCTTAAAGAGCCTTCTTATATTAAATAGCATTTTTATATGGTAACAGTGTGCTATTAGCATATGTGTTGAAAATTTTTGTTCATCATGTCCCTTTATGCATGTCTCCAGATTAGGAGAACAGAGATGCTTGAGTTCACTGCTTTATTGTTGTTGTTACATGCGATCAAGTTGCCTCTAATTTAGGGTGACCCGATGAGTGAGAGATCTCCAAAATGTCCTGTCCTTACCTGCCCCGCTCAGCTCTTGCAAACACAAGCCTAAGACTTCTTTTAGGGAGTTCGTCCATCTCATATTTGGCCTTCCTCTTTTCCTGCTGGCTTCCACTTTTCCCAACATTATTGTCTTTTCTAGAGACTCCTACCTTCTCATGATATGCCCAAAATAGAACAGCCACCATTTCAACATTGTTGCCTCCAGTGACAGTTCAAGCTTGATTTGTTCTAGGACCCATTGGTTCATCTTTCTTGACAGTCCATGGTATCCACCCAGATCTGCTTTTTTACTAAAATGTCTTTTTCTATGTTTCACCCACCTGAATAGAACACTCACAAATGTCTATCTGTAACTGTGTGACTTTTTTTTTGTTGCCATCCCCCCTCCCCCCAAGGTGGCTGAAAACTATTTCTATGTGCCAGATCTTGGGCAGGTGCCTGAGATTGATGTGCCATCCTATCTTCCCGACCTGCCCGGCATTGCTGCCGATCTCATGTACAGTGCTGACCTCGGGCCAGGCATTGCCCCTTCGGCACCAGGAGCTCCTCTACCAGAGCTGCCCAGCTTCAGCACAGAGTCTGCGGTGCCTTTGCAGCCAGGTACGTCTCCCACTGGCTTCCTTTCTGTGCGGGCGAAGGGGGCGACCAAATATAAACGGGAGAGTGTGAAGGGAGATGGGCCGGCTGGATAGCCATAGCCATCCGTGTCTGTGCCAGATAGGCTGTGGTGAGCAGTTTGTTCTTTCCTCCCACCTCCGGGAGACAGGAGAGAGATGCTGCTGTTAAAGGTAGCGCTCTCTACGCGACAGGGAGAAGGGAGGAGAGGAGAGAACACAAATAATGTGAGCACATTAAGCTCAGTTTGGTACCCCACACAGAGGATGAAGAAAGGGCTGGTTTTGCTTTGCACTTTCTAGCTGTCATCCAGAGACAGGCGAAGAAATGGGGCTGCCAAATCTACCGGCTGCTAATCCATTTTAAGTGGGAAGCAATGACTCGAATCTGTGCCACAGTTTTATAGAATTAGACTTGGCGCATCTCTCATTGTCTCCCAAGGTTTCTGTGAACACCTGGAAAAAAATTATTAGAGGGAACTGGAGCTCGTCCTGTTTTTTCAGAGGTTTAGAGTAGCAGTCGTGCCTATCTGGCTGGCGGCTAATAAACTAGCTGTAACTTCATTTGACTGCAGGGGGGCCAGGCCATTTCCTTGCATGAGTTAGTGCTGTTGTGTTATTTTCCATAAATGATGGGCTAGGATGATGTTCTGGAAATACAGGGCCAGAAATGACTCCCTGCTATGTTTGCTGTACTGAAATTTGCAGAACTGAAAACTCATCAGCACCTGTGTGGGATGAGACATAAATCTCAGCAAATAAGCTTGAAAGTTGACTCTGTCTTTGTTTTCCGTGTATTG